CTCATTTTCAGCTTTTACAAAAGCTGAAAGAAAAGTATTTTCAAACCCTCATTTGGCCCAACCATTGCTTTCTGGAGTAGGAAAACAGCTCCAGTAGCTAGGCCAATCCCGCACTAAGTAAATTAATCAACAGAAAGAAACGGTGATAATTTTTCCAAACTTGCAAATCCTACCTCTATTTCTTCAGTTGCTTTCTCCACTATTCGCCAGTATTCACCCTCAATATTCTCAACTAATGGCTCATGGTGCACTGGAAAACTGGTCGTTTTACCTTCCATATCTACATCATTTTCCTTCCTCCTAAAGTACTGGGCCTTGAAATCATCTGCATACTTCTGAAATTTATCCAGAGCAACCTCCAGACCAGGTTCAAACCCAAAACTCTCTACTTTACAAAATCCAGCATCGGCAGACCCTGAGATGCTTCCACTATCAGACCCACAGTCTACAGGCATTCTCACGCATCTTCTCCTTTTCCTCCTCATATTGCTAGTAACTTTTGACATTTTTCTCATTGAGCCACGATTCTGAAGCTTGTCAACCCTCTGTACACGAGTAACAAATCTAGAATTTTCCCACATATTCTTTTCTTTAAGAGGACAAGGAGGCTTCCAAGAAGATGGAGGAACAATGCGACAGATTCCATATTGTTCCACTCTTGGTCGTATACTAGCTATATAGTTCAAAGTATCTTCAAACTCCTGGGGAAACATTATTAAAGCAGTTAAGATATTTTAATTCTCTAATGTAGAACTCCAGATTTTAAAAGTAACGGTAACAAGTATGGTAAGGCAAATTATGTTATTCAAACCAACTCAAATTGTATGCAGCACTAAAAACCTCTTCTGTTGGGAAGAACACAGGTGCATCCTCAAGGTTGGGCCTACATGCTTCTTCTGGACGCCATCTTGCAGTTACCTGTTCCAAACACTAAATATCAGTGACATAATATTTGAAGACAACATTAAAGAAGGAAAACAGAATATCAATTATACAGTAAAAAACTTAACTAAAAGACACTTCCAAGTTATTACTTACATCACGGATGTTGCTGCTACAGATTGATAAATATAAGCACAGTAAGATGGAAAAGATAAAAGAGAATAAAGGAGCAGTGCAAACTGAGGCAGATTATGAAAGTGTGAAAGGTTAAGGAAACTAGGAAAGAGCAACAGAATTTGGAAAACTAACATTTTGGCAATCATTACACTCTGGACATCCACGGATAACACCTTGAGGAAGGCTAAGTCTCAATCGTAGATTCTGCAATAATGAATGCCATATATAAGACTACCAAAATGCAGCATTGTCACAAAGGGGTAGCATATTCTTTTGCTAAAATTTCTGAAATCAGCATCCAAACTTTTATAAAGCAAAATAATGTTTTCCAAAAAAAAAAGAAAGAAAAACAAAAGGTTCAACAAATAACTTAACAAGAACAGAAGAAACTAACTTGATCAAGCTTTCCACAATCAGAATCATCTTCCGAACTGTTATCATATCGACCATAGTTTATCCAAGGTCTACACCTCAGAGACCTTGTAATCTTTGCGCTTTCACTATTTACCAACTCAGTTTCCTTCTGAACTTGACTGGCATCAGAATTACTTGCAGAGTCTGAGCAGCACATTAGAGTATCATTCTTGTGTTTTTCAGTATCTTGGGCCCCCCTCTTTAAGGTAAAAGATGCATATGACTCAAAACCTGGTGGAAACAACGGAATATCATCATTCTCTTCTTTAATACAAACTCTCATAAGTTCTGTCCCCATCTGTACCGCTACACAAGACAAAGGTGACATTGTAAACACTACATTCTGTATTTGGAAGAGAAAACAGTTGAATAGAAAGATAGGTCTACATTATAAAGAATCAATCCAGCAGCCCAACTAAAGGTACCTAATTTGACATCCTAACTATAATTCTGAACTGCCGTAAAAAGAATCTTTATCTGCACAGAAATGCAAAGCAATTAAAAAAATAAATAGACAAACATAATCCAAAAGCCTCATTTCTGTTCAAAATCAAGCCATTGTGTTCTTATAAGATCAGCATAGATTATGTCAACATTGCAATAACATTTACAATAAATTTTAGGTTTTACCCAGACAACCACAATTCAGCATTTCGATAAGAAGATGAGGATGCTAAGAGACCAGGATGACTACATTCCAGCATACTTCGTTCAGATAATTGCATATGATACTTGTCTTGATAAGGCCATTTTCTGGCCTATCCTCAGCATGTAGATCAAGAGATTGCGATCAAATAATATATACTTCAGAAGATTAATTTTTTAGCCTTATTCCAGGTATAAAGTTTTGTTTCACTATGTTAGTAAGGATCAATGTTAAAGTATGTCGCTGAGTCTAACACTTCCAAGCATGATAAATTATAGTTTCATTGCTTCATGCATAAGTCAATCCCCAAATCCTAGAATCATGCCACAGATGAATGCTGAAACGAAAATACAAATACTATCAAACTCCTTCACACATAACAAATATAGTCTAATTATGTCAATCAACATGTTTAATGCCTTCTCATTCTTGATAGAGTTTATTAAAGCTCTGGAAATGATAACACAGGCAAAACCTAAGTGATTTCATCACCTTCAAAATCATGATCCCTTAAATCAGTAATCATGAAATCAAATGTATTAAACTATTGTTTCTAGAAAGTCCTATATAGCAGGAAAATAACACCATTGCTAGCCCTTCTTGGATCAGAAAAGTCATCAACAAAAACCATCAATTGTACATTTTAGGAATTAAAATGCAACAGAAAAAATTGAACATCAAATCCACAAACATATTTTTCAGTTTTTTCTTCTTGATATAAAATCAAATCATGAACCCTATACAGAAATTTACTATATAAATTTCCAGCCAAATCCAAGATTAAACTCATGCATTACTTTCTCTATTAAATAAATTGGACTAAATAATCCTAAACCTAAAATGTCACTATCAAATAATTTGATCAATCATTAAATAATAAAATATAAGCTCATAAAATTCTAATTTCCTATATTGTCATCACAGTAAAAAAAAGAATGCATGCAAAAAAAGCCCAAAAAAACTCCAAAAAATTACATAAACATGTTGTTGATCCAAAAGATTTCTGTAATTTGACTTCACTCTCTTTTTCACTACACCAGATTTTCGGGTAAAAAAAACTATAAAAAATTCCTAAATTGAAACCACAACAAAAATAAAAATTATGAAGTGGAAAAAAAATAAAATTTGAATCTAATTTTAAACGGATCTAACCCTAATCCTAACCCTAAAACTTCAAATGGCACCCGATAAAAAAAAAAAGCACCAAATTCAACAGAAAAAAGAGATTACTATTTTATGATAATGATATTTTTCTAAAATTCAGTTTTTTCTCAAGGGTACCCCACAAATCCTAGTATGACCATCAAGACCCCCACCTTCAAAACAAAAAATCAAAGCAAAGAACAACTATTCCACTCCAACAAAAAAAAAAAAATCTTAAGGACGCGGATAAGGGTAAGTATGGAAGATCAATTAATTCATCAATTCCAAAAATTAAAAATATAAATAATACATTAATACTTATAAGTTATTCAGATTTGATTAAAATAAAATTCAAATTCGATTCGATTATTATCGAGTCGAATTTGAACTCGAATAATTCGACTTATTAATCAAGTTAAATTTAAATATTTTTATATACAATTCAAATAGTTTATGAGTTGAATCAAATTTTTATATTTAAATATATTATTATTATTTTAATTAATAAAATATCTTAAATTTGAGATCAAACATAAATAATTAAGGTTTTATTGAATATAAAATTAAATTTATTTTACATATTAATTAAACTTAATCGAAAAAAATCGAATAACTTGATTTTTATCTCAAATTAAATTTAAATTAAAAAAATAAAATTTAATTGAATTTGATTGAAATTTTAAATCGGATTCAAATTTAAATTTAACATTATATGATTCGAACTCGATAAATTATATTTTTATAAAAAAATTATATAATTTTAAAATTAAAAAAAAAAAATTTTATTATAACTTTTTTTAAATTATATTTTTTGTGTATTTACGAAGCAATTGAAAGCATAAAGTTAAAAAAAATAAAAGTACTACTATTATTTTTAAGGGGAAGGGTAATTTGGGGAAAAACTTGGGTAGGATAAGGTGAATATTTTTTAATTATTGGAGGATAAGATGATTAATTAAGGATTAATGAAGGTTTATGGGGTGTTAAACTGTTAATTACTAAAAAAGAAATTTCGAGGAGATTTTTTTAATATATTTTTATTTATTTGTTTGATAATTTAAAATATTATATGATATAAAAATTTCACTATATAAAAATAATATTATTTAAAATTTTAATAATATTATATGTAAATTTAATAAATTTAAAATATATATTTATATTTTTATCAATATAAATTATAATAAATAATTTTTATATAAAAATATATAAATATATAAATTTTAATATTTTATATAACATGATACACGAATCACTAAATTTATTCATAAATAATTTCTTCATCGGCTTGTGGAATGAATGTGAAAAAACTTTTTTTCTTTGATAAGGATCGGCCGTATTTATAATAGGTACATTTATTTTATTTTTAATAAATTTTTAAATTTCATAAATATAATAAACTTTAAAAAAAGTTAAAATATTTAAAATTATCAAATATCATATTAATTAATAAATTTATAAGAATTAAATCAACCAGTTCTAATTATAAAATTTAAAATTTTCATCTTCCTCGTATCTGTATAGAATAATAATTCAAAATATTAATATCAACAATTTTTTATTGTTTTTATAAAATAAAATGTGTAAGTTTATGGGCGGGCCTGGACTCTAGTTCAAAAGGGCCTGGCCCATAAAAAAATTAATAAAGAATCACAATGTTTTCTTTACCTATAAACGACAGCGTTTAATTCAGAACCCTCCAGATCTTTCTTAATGCTTTACTATAAAGCTTTACCTCTTCCGTGGAAAAAGAGACCCCGAAACCCGAAAATTTCCTTCAATTTCTCCCAATTTTCCTTCTTACCAAACACTCCACCTTTCAAAACCCTAAATCCTAATTCCAACCATGTCGATTACACCATCCTCCGCCACAACTCCTTCCTCATCTTCCTCTCAGTTCACTTACCAAACGACAACGAACCCTTCCTATTTTCCCTTGCCGTTTCATCTCCAACAACAGGCCCAACCTTATGCCCCTCCGGCCCAGCCTGTCCCGATCGCCCCAGCCCCTGTCTTTCCCGCCCCGGTCGCCCCCGGCGTTTATTCTCTCCCTCAATACCAACAGGTCAGCAAAAAAATAAATTATAAATAAAATTTCTCTTTTTTTATTTATAAGTTTTGGATTTATGGAATTTAGGAGTTATGTTGGGTTTAGTTTCGTCTTTTTCCTCCAACTTTTGGAAGAATCTGGAAAATTTTCTAGGTTTTGTTGTTAATTGAGAATTGGAATTAAAAATTCAAAAAAGAAAAAAATTTGCTTTGGATTGGAGGAATTAAAAATTGAAAATTAAACAAAAAGCATGAATTTTCATGAAAAAGAACAAAAAAATTGCTTTGGATTGGAGGAATTAAAAATTGAAAATTTAATAAAAAGCATGAAAATTTATACTGTCATGACCTTTGAATTAGAGTTAATTTTGGCCATTTACTCTTTTTTTAGCTGAAAAAGTTTGGCTTTTATTATGGTTTGTTTTTATTTATATTAATTTTGGAGAAAGTAAAAAAATTGCAATACCACAGTAAAAGTGGCCACCAAGTGAATCCTTTTGTTGGCTTTTTTTTCCCTTTAATTTTATTTTAGAGCTGTGAGTTCAATTTCACACTTCATCTGTGTAATTTGTTGTAGTATATTGGAACAGGCTCAACAGTTATTTCAAAGGGATGCTCAGATAGTTACCCCTGAGGCACTGGAGAGCGTAAAGGCTGCACTTGCAAGCAGTGAGATTGAACACAAAGCAGAAACTAAAAAGAAAGCGATGCCACGTAAAGCTGCTGGTCAGTCGTGGGAGGATCCAACACTTGCGGAATGGCCAGAAAGTATGGACTGTCCAACTTATTCTTTGATGTCTTGGTGTGTGTTTTACATGTGCTGTTCTTATTTTCGTTTAGTTCTGATGTTTTATTTTTGTTGGTAATCTGCAGATGACTTTCGCCTATTTTGTGGTGATCTTGGTAATGAGGTGAATGATGATGTTCTTTCAAAAGCTTTTGCAAGATTTCCTTCATTTAACATGGCCAGAGTAAGTTTTTGAATTACTTGATTTTGTCTGTTTTCCTTTTATTAGCATTTTTTTGCTCTGGGTTTATCAACTCTTTGCATTTCCTGTTCAGATTTTTGTATGAAGCACAAAGAGCAGTTATATGTTTATGTGTTTAAGGTAGGTTTGTCTTAAATGTTAATGTTTGCAAATTAATGGAATAATCTATTTTATTTCATAAGTATTCTTTAATCCTGTCAAAACTATAGAGATCAATATTGGATGTTGACTGCTGGAACTGACCTTCAGAGCTTGAGTATGGTATATTTGATCTGACTTATGGAGTAGCTTGAGTCATAGCCAGCTGAATTGATTTCAAACATTTCTGAATAAGGTCAGTTAACGTATTAAACTATTTAGGTGGATTGTCTCCCAATTGTCTAGGCTTAAAGAGGGCTGAAGGGAATTACAAAATAATCTCTTCCGTCTGTTAATGTTTATTTATGGCATTTAACATGAGAGAGCCTTATGCCATTGTCATTGAACTGAAATTCAACTTTCCAAGAATGTTAACCACTTGTCTTTTTACTGGTTTTCAGACTTGAGTATTGTGGCACATTTCCCTCGTGAACTTATGTCTGCACTATGTTGGGAATTCTTATTGTCACTCATAAGTTGTGGGATCTTAATTTGTTAAAAAGATGAGTGTTAAGAATCAGATTTGTTGAGTATATTGGGACATGAGTTTTAGGTTATGATGATTTAATTGTATTTTGGCTTTATATCTTCGATAGTGAACCATTACATTGGCAGTATATTGTTTCTTGAGTTTCTGTGTGAGGGTGAGGTGTGCCTGTTGTCATGCTTATGGTTGACCTGTTAGTATTCCATCTTTTTGTTCAAAAAAAATATATCAATGAGGCGTTCATAATTTTTTATAAGATGATTTGATAACTAAGAATATTTGTATGAATATATTATTTTCCTACCAGGTTGTTAGAGATAAACGGACGGGCAAAACGAAGGGCTATGGCTTTATTAGCTTTGCTAACCCTTCTGACCTTGCAGCTGCACTTAAGGAGATGAATGGTGAGTGTTTGTATAAATCCTTAAGACATTTTGGACAACCTTTTTTTTGTGGCTTTCATGGTGTTTTTATACGTTCGTATCCAAAGAATTTACCCTTTTTTGTGGCTTTCATGCTGCAGGTAAATATGTTGGAAATAGACCAATCAAGCTTCGCAAAAGTAACTGGAAGGAGAGGATAGATCGAGAGGCCCTTGAGAGGCAGAAGGTATATGCAATCTCCTTGATTTTATCTGCTTGCTTCTGTAAAGCTTTTTCTGTGCTTTTGTATTGTTTTTAACTCTGGATATCTGTTTCTTGAATTCATGGGCAGAACTATAATCAGAAAAAGCCAAAGCCGCAAAAGAAAGGGATATTTCATAAGTGAGCGGCTGACCAAGCTTTTTGCCTTTTCTTGGATCAGAACGACCACCAACTGACCCCGTATAATTGCACCATGAGATAATGCATAGATTTCATTCCAATGTTAAAATCGGTGGTTGTAGGATAATGAGAGACTTTATTCTAAGAGAATCGAGCAAGCAAATACAAGCATCAAAAAGCTTATTATCTGCATCATATGTAATAAGGAACATACTGCTTATATGCTATCTTTTTTTTTTTTTTTTAACAAATAGAAATGGGCAATTCAGCCTTCTGCTGATATGAAACAATGTCCAATCAAACTCCAATCATCGTTGAGGATGCACCCAAAACCGCAAGTAATGCTTCCATCTGCAGTTGGAATCAGAAAGACCAGAGAAACGCAAACCAGCCAGTCCTCTTGTACGTGCCGTTTTGCACCACTGAATTTGATTCATCTAGTTCTATATGATATCCACAAGCATTGACAGAATCCCAACAACGGGAAATCTCTTTGATTCCAATGTAAAGAATGAGATGGCTAAATTATCTTCGCACCATCATAAACGATATCAAACACATCACATCGTTCGCAAAAATCCACGAACCTCCATCAGAAAGCTGTTTAAGTTCTTCCTAAATCTCTGGTAGTTAACACGATCTAGAGTTGAGGAGAGATGGTTTGAACTTGTGAGAGAATGTAATGCATTTGCCAGTCTTGATTTGAGAGTAGAATTCGCCTGCCTCTCAATTAACTCATTGCCTAATCTCTGCAAAAGTATCAATACCATAACTTGAGAATTTGTTCATAATTGTGGCAGAGCAGAATAAAGGACAATGCACCAGTCCTTGCATGAATTTTCCTGAATGATTTTTTTTTTTTTGTTTGGTTATATTTGACGCTATCAGGATTTGGATCCTGGTAAATAGAAATAAGAGCTCCACACTTTACTAAGAGACCATGAAAAATGACTTTAAATAACACAGAAGCACTCATCCCTCTCACTAGAGCAGCAGTTGCAGGTGAAATCAAGTGCTAGAAGACCAACATAACTCATCAAGCTTCAAGGCACAGATTTATAGAACATACAACAATAGGCATCACGATTATCAAGTATTAAATGGAAACCTGGTATAGTTCTTGCTCACAGAGGATCAATGGAAGGAGAGCATCTGCTGCAGCACTAACTAGGTCAGGACTGAAATCACAAACAGACAAAAGTATGATCACACAGAAAACAAAAGAAGTGGTAATGCATGAAGTGTGTAAATACACTCGTGCAGGTATGTGTAAGCTTATCATGGAAATTTGCTTCTAAATACCTGTAATCTTCAAAAAGGAGCAATTGCAATAATGAACGTAGGAACTGGCTGAAAATCCCTTCGGGTAAATTTCCCTGTCCTGCAGCATGTGAACCTAATCCTGTTTTACCTGCACACGTCTCCCTATAGTGGTATGAAGCCAAAGCTTTCAGAGCTCCTAGACACATGTTAACTACTTCTAAGTCCTGCATCATCAAGGACAAAAATTGAAAATAACTACGCTTGAGATAGTAAAAGTACAGATTTTATCTTCAAGAAAGCTTGCAAAATATTATTTATAGTGTAGGAAAGACTAAAGAAAACCAGACAATTTGCCCAAGAGTTAAATACTAAGCCCGGACCTTACCCTTCTCCGCTTTATGCTACCCACCCCCAACAGAAAGGAAAAAGATGGAGGGGCGGGGGTGAGGGAGTTGAGGACTCATGTTGGGCCAGGAAGGAAAGAAGTGATAACATTGACATAATAGGTAATAATGCAGATAACAAATTACCTGATGGTGAAGACCAAAGTCCAGAGTCCCTAGAATATGAGCAAATGCTTCACTATTTAATTGGGGAAGTGTTTCAGGGTAAACCTCCAAAATATGTGACAGAAGGAAGAAGTACTGCAGAACAAATACTAACAATAATCAGCTTCCAAAAAAAAAAAAAAGGTCTACTCCATTAAAATGGATAGAGATCTTACATCATGACAAAGCTTGGGGTATTTCAGCAGCTCCAAGGATATCAGAGGAGTCACTATGTGAAGACCAAAGAAAACAACCTGCAAGAGGAACATCAAACACCTCTTGGAGATTTTCATGACAGTAATAATAAGCTAACTCACCTGAGCTATATTAGTGCCTGCAACTTCATCTGAATCTGATGAGAAATCAACCTACAAAAGATGTGCAATGTTAAGTGATGGAAATCTTACTCTCAATGCGAGAATCAACTTGCACACAACTTAAAACCTACCAGATCTTTTGAACAAAGACTTGAAAGAAGTTGAAGAAGAGCACGCAGATCTTTATATTTCTCGGTCTTTGCCTCACTAATTAAAGTGCTTGAAAGACTTATTGATATCTGAAAAAAAATAAAAAAAGAGAAAATAGTTGCTGAGAGCTGTAAATGGCACAGTATATCACAACAGTATATGCAAGAACAAGTGGAAGGAGAAAGGACTATCAGGAAGAAAGAAAACTGAGAAGTCATGTTAAAGGATAAATGAACCCTTTCCCTTGAAGAGTTCAGGTTATCCTAAATAAATTTGATTCACTAAACATGGATTTCAAAACCGGAATAAAAGAACTTTAGTATTCCAGAAAATTCATAAGCATGAGGAGCCACTATCAAATCAAACTACGATATGAAACAATGCTTGTTAAAAAAACTTTTCAATAAAAGATTTTTACATTCTTGTAGTGAACCATACCATAATGAGGCAAACTAACATAACATGATTGGTGGAAGATCCAACACAACTAAAATAGTAAGATAATCTGGCAATATGATGTTAGAAAGCAAAAGAAATCTCTCCAAGGTATCACTTGCATAACTTTTAAAAGCAACAATATAACTGGCACAAAATCTAATAATGTTGATGCAATTATGAGTAACCTGAGGCAATTTCCAGTATTGAGGTAGGTGCCATCCAGATCCAATTCTCCACGCATTAAATTGAGATACTCATTATGTGAATACTGTGAACAACTTGAAATTACTAGCCAATGAGGCAAGAAGACAGGCTTATGTATGTGTGAGTTTAACCTCCTACCTCTCCTATCACATATGCTGAATGCTTCATATGAGGCTTATTATGGAAATCAAAATGAACCATATTCCATTCAAAATGACCAAGGGCTGTAATACTGGTTCAGTATCAGTCAACCATCTAGGTCAACAATAATTTATCAGATAGAACTTTGTGATAAACAGCTCACTGTCAGTGTTCAAGTGATATTGGGTGCTCCATTATGCAATCAATCTTAGAAGAAATTATTTAAGCTATTTTTGGAGTGAGAAGTTAGGATTGGAACTACATTGAGCTACACTATGGAGCTAAATGAATCTCCTTTTCTGAAAAGAGCCTAGAAAATAGTTCTTTGAGCTCAAAACAATCTCTGCAAAGATTATCTGGACTCCAGATATTCTTCCTTTTGCATAATAATCAGGCTCTTTTCAAACTTTCTGAAGCTTTTAACAAGAAAATACGAGAATACCATAATGTAAGCAACAATTGCCAACATGGATAACTTAAATAGGGCATCTTCATTGTTGAAATGTTACTTAATTAGAAATTTGAAGAGTATAAAGATAACAGAGGGACAAGAGAACTTTAATCACGGCATTTTAGAAAATTTTTGAGTTTCAACAAATATTACCTTTCCAATATTGTGTGATGAGTAAAGCTGAAGCAAACGCATGCAGAAATCAATTACAGAAGCAGTTTCTTGAGCCTCTAGGTAGGATATTTGTCCATCCACCCATTCAACAATAAATTTAAGTAGCAGGTATATAACTGCAGACTATGCAATGATTAAAGATTAGTATAAATACTCCCCATGTTTCTGAGGAAGATAAATTTAAGTACAGGTTAAACATGAAATTGGAGAGAGTGGAAATTGAAGGAACTCATGAGATGCCAAAAATGCTAAAAAGAAAAGCTAAATCTCTTGTTGAGATGTGAAGAAGTGCATAATAGCATTCTAAAGGAAATTCCAATAAAATGATATTAACTTGGCTCAACAACAAGGTTTCCAGAGCAACAGATAGAGACATAATGCTGCCAATTAGCTACAATAAACTGGCTTTGCAGGGTGGAAAATTTCTATAAGAAGCCAATTAACTGTTAGATAACTGCTTAACTAAGACAATAAACCTGTAGTTTGAGGATAAAATATGCAAAGATGATCTACCAAAAAGAATATGCCAGAATGGAGTTATATAATACCTCATGCTTGTAAACTTCAAGAAGAAGTAGAACAGGGTTCATTATGGAGATACCAATCTCATAAATTGCTCTTTGTGTTCTAGGTCCTGCAGCACTGGCAGCTCCACGAAGCCTCTCCAACAAGCAACTAACCTATCAGATGTGCATGACAAATGAAAAACTATTCTTAAGTGATACAATAATTCATAAAATTTTGCAATTAAAGTTTAATATCCTTACCGACATGATTATATCTGGTTGTTGGGCAACACTTTTGAGATCCTTTTTGTTAGACAGTTCCACCAGATACGTTGTCATATGAACCATGAGACCCTGTACATATCTTTGAAAACAATGAGGACATTAGGCCCTTAGCAGCTCAAAAGGGGGATCGCCCCACCCACCATAAAAATACAACACTTACTGATTTGAGGCCTCTGAATTTCTAAGTCCAGAAGCAGAAAGAACAAGGGTCTGAGCCAGTGAACGCTGAAACAGGAGAAAAACATTATAGCATGCAAATAGGAGCACCGATAGATATAGTAGAATGGGCTATAGTATATTCTTACCTGATTAGCAGAACTCAACAAGAACAAACTTTTCTCATTAGTAAAAGCATTTGCTAGGTCATGCCATGAATCCTGCAAAATTAAAATGAACTAGCTCAAGATACCAGAATTTTATGTAACAAACACAGATACTGAGACCAGAGTTTCTTAAAATAGCTATAACACTATATTAATCAATTAAATAGAAATATAAATATATAGAAGGAAGTTCAACGTAATATTCAACATAAATTGAACTTATTCTGTGTAAATGAAGTGTTTATGCAAACCTAAGTAATATTCAACATAATCTAATTGAACTTTTTCTGTGTAATAAAGTATTTATGCAAACCTAAAAAATTATACTTTGAACATCCCTAGGACCTGCCCTTGGATGTAGGGGAAGGGGATTCAAGGGTGGCAGAAGCATAACACCCTGCTGTGTAGAAGAACAAAACAAAGGAAGTTGTGAAAGGCAGGTAACTCCAGTGAACTC